AGGCTGGAGTGCATGGCATGATCACGCCTCACTGCAACCTTGAACTCCTGGGATCAAGTGATCTTCCTGCCTCAGCTTTCCAAGTAGTTGAGACTACAGGCTTGCACCACCCCACCTGGCTAATTTTTCTATTTTTTTGTAGAGACAGGGTCTCACTTTGTTGCCCAGGCTGGTCTTGATCAGGCCCAATTCCAAGGAAGATTCTATTGTGTGTGTGGTAAAAGGTACATTTTTTAAAATTTACTATTTTATTTGAGTCAGAGTCTCACTCTGTTGCCCAGGTTGGAATGCAGTGGCACGCTCACAGCCACCGCAGCCTTGACCTGCTGGGCTCAGGTGATCCTTCCACCTCAGCCTTTCAAGTAGCTGGGGCTACAGGCATGCACCACCATGCCCGGCTAATTTTTGGATTTTTTGTAGAGACAAGGTCTCACCAGGTTGCCTAGGGTGATCACAAACCCCTGGGCTCAGGCAATTCTCTCACCTCGGCCTCCCAAGGTGCTGGGATTACAGGCATGAGCCACCACACCCAGCACCTATTTTAATTATTTTTAAGTGTAATAGTTCAGTGGCATTAAGTATGCCCACTTTGTTGTGCAGCCACCACTCCTGTCATTTTACATGCCAACCAGCAAGGCACAGGGTTCCAATTTCTGTCCACATACTACACTAGTTAGCAAGTTTAGTTAGTTTCCATTTTTTGTAATAGCCATTTTAATGAGTATGAAGTAGTGTCTCATTGTGGTTTGAATTTTCATTTACCTAATGGCTAGTGAGAGTGAATGTCCTTTTGTGTGCTTATTGGCATTTGATTTGGCAATGATTCATTGGGTATGACATTGAATGCATAGGAAACAAAATAAAAAATAGATAGGTTGGACTTCATCAAAATTTAAAACTTGTTTATCAAAGGACAATACCAAGAAAATGAAAAGAAAATCAACAGAAATGGAAAAAATATTTACAAATCACATATCTGATAAGGGTCTAGCATTCAGAATACATAAAGAACTCTTAAACACAACAACAAAAAGACAAATGACACAACATTTAGATGAGCAGAAAACCTGAAGAGGCTTTTCTCCAAAGAAGGCACAAATAGCACATGAAAAAATGTTCAACATTACTAGCCATTAGGGAAATGCAAATCAAAATACAAGATACCATTTTTCACACTCAATAGAATGGTTATTATCAGAAAGAAAAAAAACAGAAACAAACAAATGTTGGCAAGGAAGTGAAGAAATGTGAACATCACTGCTGGGCTTGTAAAACGGTGTAGCAACTATGGAAAATAGTATGGAGATTCTGCAAAAAGCTAAACCTAGAATTACCATAGGACCCAGCAATTCCACACACAAAATTGAAAACATGTATTCAAACAAAAGCATGTACAAGAATGTTCATAGGAGCATTATTCACAGTACCAAAAAGGTGAAAACAATCCAAATGTCCATCAAGAGATAAATTAACAAACAAAATGTGATCCCTCCATACAATGGAATGATATTCAGTCATCACAGGGAATGAGGTGCTGATACTTGGTACACCCTAAAGGAACCTCAAAAACATTGTGCTAAAAGAAAAAAGCTGCTGGATGTAGTAGTTCATACCTACAAACACAGAACTTTTGGGAGGCCAAGGTGGGGAAATTGCTCAAGTCCAGGAGTTTGAAACCAGTCTAGGCAACATAGTAAGACCTCATCTCTGCAAAAAAAATTTTTTTTAATTAGCCAGGTATGGAGGCATGCACCTGTAGTACTGGCTACTCAAAAACTGAGGCAGAAAGATCATCTGAGCCCAGGAGGTCAAGGCTATGGTGAGTTGTGAATGTACCACCACACTCTAGCCTGGGTGACAGAGTGAGACACCAACTCAGAGAGAAAGAGAAAAAGAGAGAGAGAGAGAAGAAAAAAGCCAAACACAAAAAGTCACATACGGTATGATTCCATTCTTATGAACTACCCAGAATAGGTAAATCCATAGAGACAGGAAGCAGATTTGCAGTTACCAAGGGTCAGAAAGAAGGTAGATTGGATAGTAACTGTTTAATGAGAGGGGATTTACATTTGGAGTGATAAAAATGCTTTTGAACTAAGAGGTGATGGTTGCACAATAGTGTACATGTACTAAATGTCACTGAATTGTACATCTTAAAAGTTGACTTTATATTATGCAAATTGACCTCAATTAAAAAAAAAAAAAAAAAAAAAAAAAAACGCAGTCCCCTACATTCCCTGACCAGGGTGAGCTCTTCCCATGGGGCTCCCTTAGCCTGGTGTTCAAGTCCCTTCACAGTCGAGCACTGCCTAGGACCTGACCAACCCCATTCTGGACATGTGCTCCAGCCACACCGTTCATGAGCTGCTAAATCAATGGCCACTTCATCACTCCAGGTCCAGGTTATCTTCTCTCTGATGCCTCCTCTGGGCTCATAGGGTCTCTTGAATCCCACTCTGCTGTAATTCAGATCTCAGCACATGATCTCCGAGTGTTGTCCCAGTTTTGATAAGGAGAAATCAGTATTTTTCTGAGAACCACCATGGACAGGTGTCTTGCTCAGATAAACTCACCGGAACTCCACTAGGTAAGGCTGGTTGCATGTGCAGAGGGGAAGGCGAGGGTCAAGTGGGTGAGTAACTCATTGCAATCACACAGCCTCCAAGTGGCTTCACTCTCAGTTTCCAGTCCAAAACCAGGTCTCCAAATGCCACTGAGGGAAAGTTCGTGAGTCAGATAAACACTGGAAAGGCAGCCCAACTGTGGGAGTCGCTTGTCTGACCATGAGGTAGCCAGGTCCCACATGAAGCCTCATGAGCCACACAGACACTTTATAAAGACACCAGCCAGGGGCCGGCCCCAGGAAGTGGATTCACGCTGGTATTTTTATAAACTTGGTTAGAGCTGAGGACGCCTACACCCCTTCCACTCTCTAGATGCTAAAGATACATTCTGGGCCTGCCTCACCCCACTAACCAGGGTCCAGTTCCCCACAAAACCTCAGGGCTCTGTAGGCACACAGGGCAGGAGGAGTGATTATCTGAGCTAGAAGGGGCTTTTGCCTTTGGAGGTCTAGAGCTACAAGCACTTCCTTCTGCCCAAGTCACAGGGAACATGGGAACCCACAGGAGAGAGATTTTCTCTGTGGCTCAGGGGTCAGAGAGAGACTAGCCTCCATTTTATCCTGCCTTCTAGACTTCAGCACCCCCAGCCCCAAACTGTCTTATCCCAGTCCTTACTGGGCAGAAGATCCCAGCGCCAGCCCCAAGTCCAGCATCAGGCCCTCCCATAATCTATCTGAGACACCGTGGAAGAAAATGAGGGCCTTGGGAGAGAACACGGTGCCTGAGGCCAGCAGTCAGATACTCCTGTGATCTGCCTGGGGCACCTAGGAAGGGGATGGGTACCTGGGAAGAGCCATATTGTCTTTGTCCAGTCAGGCCCCCCTGTGATCTGCCTGAGACACCCTGGAAAAAAATGGGACCTTTGGGAGGGAACATAGTTCCTGGGGCCAGCAGGGAGGTGGACATCACTGGTAGAGGCAAGGACACTGCTATGGGTTGAATTTTGTCCCCACAAATGTATATATTAAAGTCCTAATCCCCAGTACCTATGAATGTGACCTTATGTGGAAATAGTTTTTGCAGATGATCAAGTTAAGATGAGGCCATTAGCTCAATCTGCTATCATTGTGATAGAAAGGGGGGATTTGGACACAAAAACACATACAGGGAAAGCACCTCATAAAGACTGGAGATTTTTGTCACACAAAAAAAAACAGAGGCCTAGAAAACATCCTTCCCGTCTGGGTTCGGTGGCTCAGCCTCTAATCCCAGCACTTTGGGAGGCCAAGGTGAGTGGATTGTCTGAGCCCGCGGGTTCAAGACCATCCCAGGCAACTTGTTGAGACCTCATCTCTACAATAAAATAAAAAATCAGCCGGGCATGGCAGCGCATGCCCGTAGTTCCGGCTACTTAGAAGGCTGAGTCGGAAGGATCACTGGAGCCCAGCAGGTTAATGCTGGGGTGGCCATTGAGCGTGTCATTGCATTCCAGCCTGGGCAACGGAGTGAGACTCCAACTCAAAATAAAAGAAAACATCCTTTCCTAGTATCTTCAGAGAGAGCCAGTCCTGTCAACATCTTTGTTCCATACTTCTGGACGTCAGAACTTTGCCGACAAATCTCTGTTGTTCTAGGCCATCCATGTTAGAGTGCTTTGTTATGGCAGCCCTAGGAAATGAAAACAGGCACATTCTGCTCCATCTGCCACTCTCTCCGCACCACAGGTGCCTCTCCAAGCCCACCCATGGGAGGCTGAGGGATGGAAGCAGAGCTCTTTATAAGCCACCATCACTGCTGGGTGGCCATTTCTGACCCTCACTTTCTAGGAGCTCCAGCCTCAGCTGTCAGCTTCCTGGGGGCAGTGAAAGGATTAGAACAGGAAGGAACAGGGAGGCTGGGTCTCCCTGAGCCTCTACCCTGCTGTCCCCAAGGCTGTCCCTGAGCCTCACTCCACTGCCCCCAGAGCCCAGAAAGCCCAGTACTGGCCAACCCAATTCCTTATACCTCCTACAACCCCTCCTCCCAGCCATCAACACTTTGGAATAGTCACTATTTCCCTGTTAATCTCAGTGGGAAAGATGACCCAGGAAGGCACAGAAAAGGCCACACCACCTGGTCATGGTGTCTCATTAAGTTCATTGGACCTAGGAAGGCCCTTTAAGAGAGTGAGGGCAGAATAGGCTGTGGGGCCACACCTCTCTTCTCATAGAGGCCATGAATAAAGCCAGAAAGGGGATAGGGGAAGGGGGCTGTGTGTAGGACACAAAAGGGTGGAGGAGATGAGGAGGAGCCTCCATCCAGACAGGGTCTCTGACCCCTGCGTAGGCACCTCTTTTCGGCAGGTCTAACCTCAGCCAAGGGTCAGCTCCAGAGACGTTAGTCCATTTTTCCCAAAATGGACATGATGCAGCTGGCTGAGTCAGGGTTCTAGAACTTTCAGGACCGAGCCCTGCTGAGGATAGGAGGAAGCAACATGCCCTGCAGGTCCTTATGCAGCTGCGCCTCTGTCTGTGACCAGCCACCACCCAGGCACCCCTTTGCAGGGTCTCTGGGCTGTGCTGAAAAGGCCAGGGCTAGGAATGGTCCCAGCTCTGTGTGTTTCCTGGAAAGGTCAAGGGCTGGGGCTCCCCATAGCAGCCCAAAGCACAGTAATCACTGTCGCCATCTTCTGAGTCTGGAAGAGCTGGCCTCACAGGAGATGTGGGGGTCAGATCTTCCTGTGGCAGGTAGGCGGGTGGCTGTGTCCCCTGCCCTGCACACTCTGCTGGAAGCACATCTTGAAAGCCTGGGCTCCCTAGGAGGCTGGTCCCAGTGCCCTCCTTCTCCTCCTCCAGGCCCGTGGATTGCCAGGGGCCCACAGGGCCACAAGAGAGCAGTGCTATGGCCTCCTGTACACCAGATTCCGAGGTTTCTTGCATGGTTCCAGTGCAGTCCTGGCTCAGCTGCACATTGGCTCTGTGGCCCCCTGTCCAGGTCTGGAAGAGCATGGGAGGAGGGAAGAGCTCAGGACTCACCTTGAGAACAGTGGCCTCCTCCCCAGTGGGCCCAGCCTCCCTTCTCCATGAAGTCCTCCTGACATCCACACCCAGAAGCCAAGCCTGTGCCCAGAACATTCTTCCCCCCATGTGCCAGCCCAGCCTCAACATGGACCCTAAGTCCCTTCAGACCTCTCACCACTCCCCCAGCACAGGGCCTGGTGCTCACAGCAGGCTGAACCAGGGCACAGATGGTGACAGGTGCCGAGGGCAGAGCAAACCCCTGACAGCCTGTTCCCTAGGACCTAACAGCAGGTACAGAGACTGGGTGTCTCACGTGAACCCCACCCACACACACAGACAGGAGATGCTGTCGGGACTGGCAACATTTGAAGCGCTGGGCTTACACCAGCAGACCTGAATCCTTCTGTGGGGTGAGCCATGGGAGGCCTGCCTCCAAAAGGAAGCTGTTCCCTTGGTGGGGCCAGGAGCTTCCACCCAATGCACCACACCCACCACACCACATCCTCCGTCACTACACTGCTTCTTAGAGACTCCCACCTGGCGGTGCCCTGGTTCTGTAAGGAAGGGCCAGTGCCTGCAGCCAGATGATACAGTCCAGGAGCTAATCACTATCTCTGCCCTACTCAGCCTTTGCCTTCAGCTGCCCTGGCTCTTGGTGGGCACATCTGCCACCCTGGGGAAAGAAGCTTCAAATTATATTTTTGGACAACAATCTTGAAAATTATTTTCTCATCATTGAGAAAATAATTTTTCTGCATAATAAACTGATACTGTGTGGAGGAGACAACCTCTGCCACACAGCGTCCAGGAAAGCCCTGGGGCACCAAGACGAGAGATTGGGGGAGAGGGGTCATCTTGGCCCAGACCCCAGGGAGGGCCCAGCACCTCATCTTGTCCCTTCCTCAAAATAAGTAGCCTGAGGCAGGGAGTCAGAGACCATCCATTGGTACTCTCCCTCTCCCCTCCTTCCATCCATGAGGCATGAACTACCAGCCCAGAAGGCAAAGGTGGGTCTGATGCGACCCCCAAGTAGTTTTTGCTGTCGTGTGGCCCATGGGAGCCCAACAGGTCTACAAAAGGGGAAATGCAGAGCCCAATCCTCGGCCATGGTGTCAGCATGCGACCCAGAGAGATCAGGAGGGGCCAGTGAGGGCCCCAAGGGCAGCACAAGCACCAGAGATCCTTCCCCATGGCCACAGAACAGACACCTTTACAGAAGGAGGTGAGACACACAGTGGGAGCAGATGGCCCCACAGCTTGCATCTGGAACTAAGTAACTGCCTCAGCTGTAAACCAGAGAGACAGAGATAAGTCATGAAGAATTTTTCCATCAAAAATGGATGTGGACGTGGGAGAACAAAAAGAAATTGGCAATGGAAAAGAAAGCTAACATATTTTTGCCCACTGGAGAGACAGAGTATAATTTTAAACCCACTGTAATACAAAAGAGGCTCAAAGCACTGAGAAGTCCCCAACACTGGCCCCAAAGCCTCATCAAAGCTGACATCCTGGGCAGGGCCCTCTGGGTCACACCTGCTCGCACACCCTGCAGGGGCCTCTGCACAAACCTGGAAGTTCCCGTTGTGCACACTGTAGAGGGGCTGGAAGAAGGCTGCTGGGGAGGGCACATTCTGGCAGAAGGTTCTCTTTACTCTGAGGTGAGGAGAGGACAGTGAGAGGCCTGTGGGAACCCACGTAGGGGCTCCTCCCAAGGCCCCACTCCAGAAAGCCTGAGGTTGCTGCAGGGACCTGAGCATCCTTGCCACCAGCAGGTGACCCGCCCACCTCATCCCTGCCGTTGCCTCTCTCCCTCTCGCTGCATCCAAACCCGCTCCTGGGCGGGATTTGGCTGGGTGCCCTGTGGCCTCCATGGCCATCAGCCCCACAGAACTGATTTTATACCAATACACAGGTCCTTTACAGCAGGAGCTGCAACGGTGGGTTCAGGATGGAGAGTGACCGACTGTGTTCTCAGCCCACAGAGGGAGCCAGCCCCTCTAGGATCACACCTTTGCCATCCACAGAGGGTCAGAAGGTCTTTGGCTCCCACCCCATCCCACAGCTCCTTGAGCACCAGACCTGCCTGCCCAGGTTCTACTGGTCCTCCCATGAGGAAATCACCTGGGCCTCCAACCCAACAGGTCCAACCCAGCCTCACCAACCTGATCCAGGGGCTGACCCCAACTCCACACTTCAGGGTCACCGCTTATATCTCAGCCACCCACATATCCCTTCAGTGTCTCCTCCTAGGACCTGGCAGCTCCCTCCACCTTGCCCCATCTCCACTGCTCTCTCCAGTTCAAGCCAAACTGTGTCTCTGGGGACATCCCAGCAGGTCCCTCATTTCCCCTTGTGCCAGCAGTCCACTCTCAACACATAGACCAGACTGCATCACAGTTTCACACTCTGTAAGATTTTCCTTCACTCCAAGAAGAAGCTGGTACCCTCCACCTGGCCCCGCCCAGCACCCCCCTCCCCACACCCTGTTCCTCGAATCCTCCCCAGTGCTGGACATGGCCCCTGTGCTCCCTCTTGTAACCTGACATGAGACGCATGACATGGGATGGCTTATTCGAGGAAGGCCCTTGTTCATCTTGTTCTCTAAGGTCACTGCCAGAACGAGAACAGGGTCCTACACACACCAGATTCCCCACTGGTACTTTCACAAAGTGTGTGAGCCAACGAGCAAATCGCCAAACACCTCCAGAGGCAGGAGTGAGGATCTTGGGTCTCTCGGTCATGGCAATGCTGGGTGTGGTTGGGGCCAGGCTACCTTCATCTTTGGCCCCTGCCACACATCCCTCTTCACTTTCCCCCAGCAACCTGAGAATCCCACACTGCCCCAGGGCAGAGACTTAGAAAGCCTCCCCCTCGGGCACCAGACAATGGAGTGGGGAAGGGAGAAGGGAGGTGCATTCTCGATGCCCCACCCACCACACACTCATACATGCACACACACTCACATGCACTCACCACACACACCCACATGCATACACTCACACACAAACACACATGCACACACACATGCACTCACCACACATACATGTACACATACTCATACACTCACCACATATTCACACATGCATACACACATTCACAACGCACTCACACATGCACCCACTCACCCATCACACACACACTACCACACACACTCACACATGCACAGACTCACCACACAACCACACGCACACACCTTGGCTACCTACCTGGGTGACATCTTGAACAGGAGGTAGGTCAGGCTGGTCAGCAGAAGCAAGATGGACACAGCAACAAGAGTACTGTCTGGCCGCCCCCAGGATGGAATCGGGGGGCCTGTAGGCAGGAAGGGCTCTGGGATGTGAGCAGCCTGTATGCCAGGAGGCTCCCACAAACCCACATGGCAAAGGGATACAGTGAGTGTCCTGATCCAGCATGGAAGTTCTGTGATGGGCCTCAGAGGTGTGCATCATGCCTACTAAAGGATCTTGGGTGAGTCACACTCCTGGGCTTCACGTTTCCCATCGGCCAGTTCCCAGGTCCATGAGCTGTCCCAGGACCACTGTGCACCAGGGTCAGCCCAGTCCTCACAAAGAGACACTAAGGTCACATCTGGCTTCCAGAAAGAAGCGCCGGCCCTGGTGTGCAGCCCAGACCACCCTCAATCCTAAGGGTGGCCACTGGCTACGCAGTCCCAGGAAGCCCCAGGACTGCAGGTGTCTGTCTCCTTCTTACACCTTGGACCTCCGGGGGAAGTAGGTCAACTGGGGCAGGGCCACCTCAGGGCAGAAGGGTCAGGTGAGATGAGCAGGGGGAGGGGGGTCCAGCCTGGTCTCTGGAAGCACAGTGGCTGCAGCACCCACCTGGTCTCTGTGGGGAAGGGAAGCTTACGGGTAGGCTCCATGCACTCCACTGGCCCTCGTACCACTCCTCCTCCAGCATGCCGTCCTCCAGGGGGGCCATCTGGACACGCAGCCGGGCCTCATAGGTGAAACCGGGAGCCAACTCGAAGGCCTCAAGGCTGAGCCGACTCACCCCAACAATGTGGTTCTTGAGCCGGGCCCGCTGTGGGGTGGGGACAGTGAGCAGATGGTGAGGGCAGGCAGGGTCCCTTGGCCCTGGAGAATGCACACAGGGTCATGCACAGCTTCACATGAATCACACTCACATGGACACACCCGTATCCACACTCACATCCACATGCACATAAGACACACTCACACTTACACTCACACCCACACTCACCTCTGCCATGTTCACACAGGTGCACTCACTCAGGACACACTCACACCCGAACACACTCATGTCCACACACAGGCACCCTCAACACACTTGCATACATACACATAAAACACACTCCCACAGACACACCTGTGTCCACACACAGGCACACTCACACTCATAAGAGCACACTCACACACAAGCACCCTCACCACACTCGCATACATCCACACAAGGCACACTCACACACAAACACAAACATAAATGCATACATGTCTACAGGCACACCTTCACATTCATCACACTTGCAAGTATACTCATACACACATGTGTATACACAGAATCACACTCACCACACCCACTACAATCACATACACATAGACATACCATATGCACACTCACATTTATAGACACATGGCAGGCGGGCACGGAGCCTCAAGCCTGTAATCCCAGCACTTTGGGAAGCCGAGGCGAGAGGCTTGCCTGAGCCCGTGGATTCGAGACCACCCTGGGCAACATGGCAATTAAAAAAAAATTAGCCTGGCATGGTAGCACACACTTGTAGCTCTCTACTTGGAAGTCTGAGGCAGAACGATCGCCGGAGCCCAGCAGGTCGACACTGGAGTAGCTGTGAACATACGACTACACTCCAGCCTGGGTGACAGAGTGAGACTCCACCTCAAAAAAAAAAAAAAACCCACATGGCACAGGCACACTCGTGTACACTTACATACAAGTCCATCTTTGTGCACACACATAAATACACACGCAAATGCATACTCACCACACATATGCACACACAGAGACATAGGCACACTCATGCCCTACTCTCATGCACACACACCAAGCACACATGTGTGTGCAAACACGTCTGCATGAACATACACTCCTGGCTCTGGTCCCTCCCACCCTCCAAGTTGCCAAGTTCCAAGTTGCCATCTCCCCATGGAGCATGAGGAGTCTGCCCTAGGTGACTACTCCCAGGAGAGAGGCCTCAGGAGAAACCAGTCCTAGTGTTACCTCCCAGTCTTCTTCCTGCCTCTTGAAGGCCAGCTCATAGCTGAGGAAGGTGGCCATCGGCTCCAAGGCAAGACTGACACTCCAAGTCAACACACAGTGGCCAGAGCTGATGTTGCTCTGCAGGTCAGAGGGAGGGTCCAGCTTAACTGGAAAAGAGTGAGGCCATGTGAGACCAAAGAATTTCGCGGGTCTGGGTGTGTCACTCAGTGCACCCAGGCTGGGTTCTGAAAGGTTCCCAGTGGCACAGTCAAGGGCCTCTCAGACTAGACACATCTATGGGGGCTTGATGCAGAAAAGCCCCGGATGGGACAGCAATGACATCCTGCGGCCCCTGCAGCTAGACACAGTAGTTTCCAAACCTTGCTGTCCCTTTTTTTCACAATCTGCTGCTGGAAGTTCTTCCCAGAGTCTTGTCATATGGGAATCCTTTCTGCTATGACTGAAGTGCATTTTCAGTGACACAAACTGCAGCCCTTGCCCCAACTCACAGCCCTGCATCTTTATCCTTTGTCCAAGCCCTGACCCTGGAATGACCATGTGGGCCCTCTTCTCCCAGGGACTCTGCCTGCTCCCCATCCCAGATCTCACCTGACAGGGACTGAGAACACTCTGGGCCACAGGGGCCACAGGCAGCAGCACCCTGGCCCCAGGCCCCAATCTGTGGCCACTTCTGCTCACCATGTCTCCGGGGCAGGTACTGCGGGTCCACCAGGCCAACCTGCTCCTCTCCAGAGACGCAGCGGTGAAAGGTGATGGTGAAGTTGTCAGATGGCACAAGCACTGCCTCGGGTGGCAGCACCAGAGTGCACACACTGCCCTGGAAGATGCACTTGTGTGTCCCGCCGGGCGCCTGGTTGCTGGAAGGCCATGTGTCAGCACTGTGGAACACCTCACCTTCCCAGCCCCTGCTGCTGCTGTCAGGGGAACCCTGCCCTCATTCCTGTCTCTGGTCCAGGTGGGCCCGGCCTTCCATCCTCACCTGGTAAAGAGGAGCCAGGGGCTGGAGCCCTGGTTCTGCTCCGGGGTGGCCCAGTGGCAGTCGATCCTGAGGATGTTGTTGCTGAGGCAGGTGAAAGTCTCAGCCCTTGGCCCTGGGGACAGGGACCATTGGGAGCTCACAGTGGGTGCTCCAGAGTTCAGCCAGGATGTGGGGGAGGGTCTGACAGCTGACACCCGAACAGGACTGTCACCAGAGAATGATGCCAGGAGAATTAATGAAGGGCAGGGCAGGGAGGCCTGGGAGGTGATGAGCTTGGACCCATGTTACACAGCAGGCCAAGCACAGAGAGGTGCCAAGAGGACAAGGGTGGGGAGATGAGGATCGGTGGGACTGAGGTCCAGGTCTGTCCCTGGAGAACATGTCCCAGCACAATTTGGGCCAAAACCATTCCCCAGGGACTCAACAGAAGACAGCTCTGTCCCCCAGCCGTGCCCTCGTTCTCCACTTACTCCATACAGACACTAGTGCCCAGCCCTCACCTTCTCTCTTCCCTGGGACAGAGACTCCAGGGCAGACACAGGCGCAGATGCAAGTACAGATCAGGAACCAGGTGCCCACATTTCGCCTGAGGGCCTTGCTCTCCAAGGTCCAACCTGCAAGGGACAGGACTGAGTTGGTCACCACCTGTACCCTCACCATGTGCCATGAAAGACACCAGGCATGCTGGACGTGGTGGCTCACGCCTATCATTCCAGTACTTTGGGAGATAGAGGTGAGAGGATGGCCTGAGCTCAGGGGTTCAAGACAAGCCTGAGCAATATGGCGAGATCTCATCCCAAAAAATCAGCCGGGCATAGTGCTGCATGCCTGTGGTTCCAGCTACTTGGAAGACCGAGGTGGAAGGATCACCTGAGTCTAGCAGTTCGAGACTAAAGTGGCCGTGAGTGTGCCACTGCACTCCAGCCTAGGCAACAGAGTGAGTCTACGACTCAAAAAGAAAAAGAGAAAGAGAAGGAAGGAAGGGAAGAAAGAAAGGAAGAAAGGAAGGAAGGAAGAAAGAAAGAGAAGGAAGGGAAGAAAGAAAGAAAGAAAAAGAAAGAAAGAAAGAAAGAAAGAAAGAAAGAAAGAAAGAAAGAAAGAGAAAAAGAAAGAGGAAGGAAGGAAGGAGGGAAGGAAGAAAGGAAGAGGCTAGACACCACTGTCCAGGCTTTCCTAATAAGAACTGAAGCTCAGAAAGGCCATTTGACTAACCAAAGACTCATGGCTGCAGTGTCTAAGATGTGCCCTCAAACTCAGATCTCCTGGTGAGTCCTGGACGCTGACTCAGCTTGGTTTCCACGTGAGCCTAGAAGGCTTCTCTCTAGGACTGCTGTCCTCTGCCAGCCCTGTTCCTGGGCCCAGGGCCCATCTCGCAGGGGAGTCAGGGTTGGGGTAGTTGGTCACTCCCAACAACCACCACAAGCAAGATTTACTGCGCTCTTTGGTGCCACACCTTGTGCCAACTTTATAACATGCATTTTTTACTTTAGTTCTCACCACAGCTCTGAGGGAGAAAGACTGTCCCTCTTCACAGAAAAGGAGCTGAGTCCCAAGGAGGGGAAGTGCCTTGCCCAGGGTCACATGACCAACCTCCATACATACTCTCTCCCTGTTGTCTCCTTAAATAAAGACCCATCCTAGGGTTCTGCCCCAGGAAAGTGGAGGAAGATGGCAGCGAGGTGTCCATGCAACAGAGGGACTTCCTAAACTCTTTGTCCAAGGTGTCCCCAGAAAGGCAAGGGTCCCAGGCCTGTGGTGTGCGCCCAGAGCCCCAGGGTCCTTGGGGGAGCCAGAGGTTGGCTGGAGATAAGGGGCTGGGTGTCAGAAAGTGCTGGGTGTGGGGAGGCTGTCAATGCCCTCTCGCCCCATTTGCAGCTCCTGATAGTACATGCCGATAGCCCCTATGCAGGAAGCAGAGCCGGATAGTTATGCAAGACTGATTAGTGATAAGGAGGAGGAAAAGCAGACATGCACACAGACCACAGCACGCACCCTCCAGGAGCATGCACACACTTGAGGGGCAGCCAGCACCACCCCAACTCACTCCACTCCCGGCAGCCTGTCCACACACCTACAGGACAGACCCCTGCTAAGACTGATGACGAGGAGGACTTCATCCTTCCCTGAGATGGAGCATGGCACTGCTGGTCACAGCATGAGAGATCGCAGCACAGTCTCTGCAGCAGTGTCTATCCCTTCTTGCAGCAGTCACTGGAAAGGTGGGGACAGGGAAGCAGCCTGAAGACAGCCTGGGATGCACCCTGTGTGCCACCAAGCACCTGGTTGCTGGAAAGGGCATGTCAGCGCCATGGGACTGGACATGGAAGCAGGAGCCAGCTCTCCTCTGGGTCACTCAAGGACGAGTGGGCCTCCTCTGGCACCTATGGAAACCCCTGATGCTGTGAGGCACAGGGTGTGTGAGGATGCTGATGAGGTCAAGATGGGCAGAGAGCAGGAAGAATGGAGGCGAGAAGGGCAGCTGGAGTAGAATCCAGAGATGACAGATGCGGAGGACAGATGGCGTGCTGGAAGAGAAGCTGCAGAGACAGCAGAGAGGGCGGGAGGTGGCACAAAGAAGCACTTTCCACATACTTCTTGAGAAGGGGAAGGGAGTGGCTTCTGTGGGGATACCAGGCTGCAGCTCAGGGGAACCAGGGCTGTATCCACATGGGCAGTGCTGCAGAAGTGTGGTTGGACCCAGGGCATAGACCCCACACAGAGTGACAGGGACAGGATGGAGGTGGGAGGAAAACAGAGAGGCGTAGCAGGAGGAGATTCCTGCTGCTGTGCTTCAAGCTGTCCTCTCCACCTGGCTTTCTTCCCCATCACACGCCTTTCTCTTCACAGAGGCCTCCCTTGTGGCCTCCAGTCTCTCTCCAGTCTGCCTTCCCAGTCAGAGGGGACCCCCAGAGTCAGGTCCAGGTGGCTCTCGTTTCACACAGCCCTGAATTAAGAGGGTCCAAGGATTAAGCAGTGGCTATGGGCTAGGACTGGAGAAAGGACGTTGACACTGTTCTCTCTGGGCCATCTGGAGGCCAGACGGGGGAAACGGTGCCCCGACTCTTCCTGCTTTCTCTGCATGTTGCCTCCACAGCCCCACTGCAACTGAAGGTCATTGCCATTCAGCAACCCCAAATAAGGATCCCTGAGGGGAAGAGCCTATCTGATTTCGGGTGCCTCCCTGCACCCATTCTGTTTAACAAATGCTCTCTAATCCTTCCTGCTGAGGCTACCCTCACCTCCAGTGATGCTGTGGGCACTTGAGAGGAGGCTCTGGATGTTACCTGAAAATGCTCTGGGAGGATAGCCACTCTTGACCTTGTGCAGCTTAAGCTCTGGTCAGAGGGTGAGCCCAGACGGCATGATTCACACGAAGAGGAGGCGGGACAGGGAAAGGAGAGGAGGATCTCAGCAGAGCCCACATCCTCAAGCTCATTAAAAGAACAGGCTATTCTGAAGTTGCACTGGATATGAACTGACACTTCACAAAAGAAGACATTCGAGAAGCCAACAAACACATGAAGAAATGCTCAACCTCACTAATCATCAGGGAGATGCAAATCAAAACCACACTGA